AGTGGTGCGCGTGCGCAGTCACTGGTTGGCAAAATGCGGTAGTTCGCATTACGGCGTTGTTCAAGTTCGCTGCTAGTTTTATTAAATATATATATATACAGAGGTACATTACTTGGGGTTTGCAACAACGGTGACATGATACCAAGATCCCATCACAATCTCGCTCTCGCATAAGCGTTCCAACTCAGAAAAATGCGAATGCGCATGCCCGAGGTAACTAGGATACTGGGATGTCCAGGTGGATCAAAATAGCTGCCCACGATATGACGGATTACGAGAACTATAATTTCTGTACATTTTCGATGAATTACATTTTTCACTACGATAGTGGCAAGAAAAGTTTTATTTTTTCATTACAAACCTTGAACATTGATATATGTCATGTCAGAAGGTCGTAGCCTCAGTCTCGCTATCTACGAGAAGAGACTTGAATGGGATCTTGACATGATGTCACAATACAGTACTATGCGAGTTGCAAAACCCAAGTAATGTACCTCTGATATATACATATATATTCCTGTTGATGAAACAACTTACGGGCAATGTTATCGCAGCACATTGCGTGTCTGTGTTGATCATCACGCGACTCTTGTTATCACTCATTTGCATGCTGGTTGGCAAATATGTCGCTTTACACGGCATCATACATCGTTTAGTAGGATGGTTTAAAGGGGTTCACCAGGGAGTCATGGGACATCCTAGTTTATATTGTTTACACCATAAATATATTTTACTTTTGTTTTTTATTGCATTTTCTTTTTATTAGGTAAATTTGCTGGAGGTGTGCATATAAAGTCAATAAGCTAGACGACTTACTGGTACTACCAAGGGGTACTAATCATGTGAGATATCTTTGAAAAGCTCACCGTGTGTATTTTTGAAAAATCTTTGCTGGACATGTCATATCAGTAGCTTCTTCAATATTTGGATGAGTCACCATTCAATTGACGTTATAAGTTGTGATTTTATTGGTTAAGACCACTTGTATATTTCAACTTATTGGTATAATTGTTCTACAAGTAATCTTGCACATTTCAGAATAAAATATAAAATAAATCAACACTGCCGGAATAAGTAAGGCGCCACCTATATTTTGAACAATTTGAAACAAATTTCTTTCGTCTTTACTTCAAAACTACTATAGTATTTTCTTAATCAAGAATGGCTTAAAATTATGATTTTTACACATAAATGAACATTTATGAATCAAAATCTGAATATATATTGATACAGGTAAATGCCAAGCATAAACATGACTGATTTGGATTTTTCCCTATATTTCTGATGTAAATAGTACAATTAAGTACATTGTGAATATGTAAAAAATAAAATTACATATTCTCTACTGTTTACCTCGTCATCGAAATAAAACAAATGTAAATAAAATGTAAATAAACTAAGCTGTAAGTTACGGTTCATACCGCTACTATAAAATAAAATAAGCTTTTTATTTTTTGATTTCATATTACAAGTCTGTTGAGTTTAAGTAAGTTGTGTCCGTCACATTGATAATTTGATATTTATAGGCGTGGTATTTTATTCAATTGTCAAAGCTATGTAAATCTCAAATCATATTGATATATGTTATATCGCTCCTTAGATGTATGGGAAAGGTTTTACATCACTTTGACAATACAACATCGAGGACAATGTAGAGAAATCAGTGATCGAAGTGTATGGCTTATTGACCGGATTGGCCATTATTGCGCTCATCAATTCCCACCAAACTCAACATATATTTGCAAACTGCTTTATAAATTACCATTCTTGTGATTTCATTTTAAATTTAAGCCACTTTTTTATTTGAGTTGATTAAGTATTTGTGAAACATGTAAACATATGCCTAATATACGTCAGAATATAGGTGACCGAAGAAGTTAATTATCTCGCGGTTTATTCTGATAATTGTGCTGTGAACAACGTGGAGCGTAGAGTCGAGCGTGGCGGATAACTCTTACACTGTAGAGATACCAGGTTCGACCCAAAGGAATATACATTAGTTCATTATATACCGTCAAGTTTTATTCGTCGAAACAGTTAGCTGAGGTAACGCCTCACTGTCTTCTTCTCTGTTTCTCCTCTTACAAAATCGTACAAACTCTACAATAAAACTCTAAAGAGTGGCAGAGTAAAGCTGCTTGCGATAATACAACAAACATATATGGCTACCGTCTTTAAAGGAAACTGAAAATAATAAACTACGCACATGCAATATATTTAAAACAACATGTGAATTCGATCCATATTTAGAACAAGAATGTCAATCGCGGAATAAGCATCACAAAATTCAGGATATCGGCACATGTTCTACCAACTTGAATAGAAAGACTGAGATGTCAAGGAATAACTTCAGAGGCAAGGAATTGTGTTCATTGTAATAGTGGAGAAATTGGTATTGAAGTACATGCGTTAATGGAAAGTAACCATCAAGGCATATCGGAAGCACGTTCACGATTCTTTGAAACAATTTCACTATATGAAGAGAGCATTATGAGATTACAAAAACAAGACAAATTTGAAAAACTATTAAACTCAAGGGATAGTTTTATTATGAATATCCTTGCGAAATTTGTAAGTTTTACAAAACTTAAGTTTTTAATCTGTCTGTGGATTCTATATTATTCATATTTTCATTGTTTATGTAATTGACCTTAGATGACATACATTTCATTTTGTATAAAATAAATTCTATTCTATATGGTTATAATGTCTATAATGCAAGTTGTTGATTCTAAACAATATTACAACTTCGTCTGAACCAAATGTGCGTACATGATGTCATTGTGGTAATAACTGATTCTAGTCGTATAATTATCTACATAAATGTAAGTACACCCTTCATTTAAAATCTGCTCCTCGCACACTCCGCTCTTCAGCCAAATGCTTTTTGCATACTACACGGGCCAACTTCAGACATGCATCATCCGGTGGGCGAGCTTTTTCCCAACGGAGCAGCTCCACGCTTATGGTACACTTTACAATACGTCGTATTGGATACGGGCGCTATATAAATTTCACTCACTGATTGATTGATTGATTGATACCTATACAGGCACAACAGCCGGCTAAAATTACAATTCACAATAACAGGTGAACTTCGACCCCTTCAAATCTTGATTAAGATACTGATTTGACCTGGCCAGCACACATTTATGAAAAATACACACAAAGACATTTCCAATGATTCCACACATCATTAGTACCCGCAGTTGGTACCAAATCTAATCGGGCAACTCGGAAATTGCGAAGTGGTGGCGTGAAGCCTATATTTTTTGACATGCGCAATAGACACTAAGTGCCTCATTCCTGCCTTTCAAATAAAAATGAATACGCATATAAGCGCGACAACATTGTACATATAATTTGGTTGTACACTTTACAGCTGAAATATCTAAAGAAAAAAACAAACAAAATTACAACCATTTTCCCGTAATTACACTCGAGCATATTTTCTATCGAACATGCTATAAACGAACTATGTTACATCAGGTAAACGGATACACACCATTAAAATGAGTGATTGAGTCAATATGGCCGACCTTCACGAAGTGATGTTATGAGAGGCGTTTTGTAATATTTACGTTTTTGCGATTTTTAATCCGTTTACGACAGTGTCAGGCAACTCCAAGGTATACATCTCCACCAATTCACACATATTTAACGCAATGTTACGTTGTTAAACTTTCGTAAACTGAATTTACATGACGCGACATCGCACGTAATTCAAAACTGATTGATATTAATAATCTGATTCTTACTAGTATATTGGACGATCGGGATTTTAATTGAAAAACTATTTCCTCACTTATTGGAAAATACTGCTCGCTAATAGCGCTAGTAGCTCATGTCACAGTCCCTGTATTGAGGGACTGTGCTCATGTACACTGTATAACATCGTAACTGTAACGGTAGTCACGTTGTGATAATGTGTTATTATGAGTTAAAGATCCGAAAGTGAGTGAAATCTTGCGTATGTTTTTGACTTCCGCATTTTGGTATTTGATGCACTATCTACATAATTTGTATTTAAAATTTTCAGGACGCTATGGCGTGCAGCAGTCTTGTTGTGCCTATTATATTATGGGGTCGGCACCCTCCAACGCATTGCATCTCAGCTGTTATGATCACGAGTGATCAGAGGACTATAGTGACTGGCTGCCATGACGGTCAGCTTATACTCTGGGATTTCAACGAAAATATGAGGGTAGGTCGTCTATTTCAAGATACAGTCTATTCACATAAGTGTTGTGTTGTATTTGATCCTTGTTCTGAAGATACAAAATCATACTTTGTGATTTGCCATCAAAAATATGCTGATTAATTCAGTTTACTATATGCACGTATTGTGTATGTTGGTGCTCACTTCCCTCTTCTGTTATTTCCTCTTACGAGTAAATTTTAAAGCCAATATGAAGTAATATGTGTAATAATAAAACCAACGAAAAGTTTGGCATGAATAAAATACTAATAAATTGTATATTTTGGCATTGTGTATTTACTCAGACTGTTATCATGTTTTATTTCAGATATCTCCTCGTAATATGTTATTTGGTCATACATCGTCTATTACGTGTTTATCACGGGCCAATGATTCCTGGGATAAATCTAACGTGATAAGTGCCGCTGAGAATGGGTAAGTAAATCGTATGTTCCAGTGTAGATCTATCAAGCTTCACTTTTCTTGTTGTTGATGTAAATTACAGAAATTTATGGACAGGTTAGTTGATTAAAAATCACACTGTCAAGTTTTGAGTTCCGCTGTTACCTTAGAAACTTGTACATTCTGGTGTAAAAACATTCCAATTTCGTCTGCGTAGTGGTGTTGATTATGCCACATAAACATTTGATAGCTCATCAGAACGCAGGGAACCAGCGAATAATTTGAACAAAAACCGACTGATCGTGCTATAACTACTGTATATATGTAAAACATCGCGGCATGTCTAAAAGACTTGTCGTCATGTGGCTGGTGTGAGCCCTGTTGATGTATCCCAATACTATTCCTATTATGCATTCTTGAATTGGGGTTTTATGTTAACTCTGCTTTTACCGACTATATATCTATTTTTATTTTTTCATAGTGAACTTTGTTTATGGGATACTGATGATGGTAGATGTATAGAGCACACTAAAGTAGCAGGAACACACACATCCATGCATGTAAGTCAATAGTACTACAGTCATCTAAGAATTGTTTGGTCAGTGAGCAAAATGGCTTGCAACTTGCGAAACACTTTGTTTTTTTGTTCAATCTAGAGTTGAAGGTATCATCCCATTGACGTACCCACAATTTTGATTATTGCATTTTTATACTAGATGAGGGGAAAACACAGTTTTTCAAAATCATATGCTCATTAGAATACATGGACAGGTTATTTTTATATGTTTTATTAATTCTTGAATTACATGCAATGTAGATATACAAGACATAAAAAATAATTGTTGAATACGTACACCAAGTTTGCAAATCATAATGTTGGATTCCCCCATGAAATAATCACTCATACACAACATGCCATCTGTCAAGCAATGACACAAAGTCTAGAACAAAGTAACACCAAGTGTTTTGAAAGGTTTTAGGGTTTTTTTTATGTAGGAATATTTAGGTTTGGAATTATTATTTATTTATTAATTTTATTATTATTTCAAGGAATTATGAAAATTGAAGTGTTCTATGAAGTTTAAATAAAAATACAGATACTTTTTGCTGAGTAACCTTAATCTGTAAAAACAAAACAAAAATGTCAAGTAAATTTGGAATCAGTTTGAACACCGATAGCATAGAGGTTGTTGCCTCAGCAGATTAAAATCAAATTCCAAAATAGGAATCAAACTGTGAAGCCCTTTGTAATGTGCTACCTACTCAAAATACGTGAATTCAAATTCTGTAGGAACCTCGGTTAGCGACTGGTGGTGTTCTTGTTCTTCGTATGTAAATTGAATAGTTTGTGAACACAAAATTAAACATTTCGATATTAAATTGAAATTAGAAATGATGAGTAAACACGGAATACTGTTTTTATGTGGCAAAATGTACTGTTTGTAAAGCTTGCATTTCTTGCTGTCTGCACATAAAAAATAAACTATAACATGCATTGTCACAATAATATTTAAAAAAATGTAATTTGACAATTTAACATATCTTTTTTTACTACAGCCGATTCAAGTGACGAAAGGTACTGGACGTGAATCATGGGTAATACTTCATGGGTATTATGCTGATGTACATATCTTGGATTCAAATAGCCTGGAAGTGTTATTTACGCTGACATCTAAGGTATCACCTGATTGGATTAGTGCGTTGACCTTACTCAGACCTGTCAAAAGACAAGGTAACTTTAATTCATTATTCAGTTTAAATATTTTTGTGTTTCTTCCATTCGGATACTGTATTCTATGGAATTGGTAATATTGTACCTATATTCTATGGGATTTTTCAATATTGTATCCATATTTTCAGTGCGAGCTTCAAACATTGTAATCTCAAAAATGCCCCAAACAAGATTTCTATTTGTGTGATTGAAACATACATGAATATTATGGGATATGTATACCCCCATTTTGATTTTTCCCAATTCTGGACAATTACACTACCGGTAACCTCTTTTCTTGTCTCAAATACCATCATAACATGAACTCTATTATAATATTTTTCAGAGGATGTTATTATTGCCTTGACAACGTCTGGAATGCTCAAAGTATGGACTCTCACTGGCTCTGAATCTAAGGTATTTTAAAAATGCGTCCAACATGTATAATTAAATGATTCTTAAAAGGCAAAAATTAACATATTTGGAAACTGTGATAAAATTTGACCATACTTACATATAGGAATTGACTATCTATATTGAGCATGGTAAGGCAATATTAAATAAATGCATTTGATATTTGTTGTATGGGACATGTGTATTGCATTCTATGCAGTTACAGGCATTTAATATGAACTGTTATTGTACTACTAGTATCTTTCTAATTTAATTCTGCAATGTAACTACTAGTTGTACAAGAAATATTAAAATTATTATTAAATATTAATATTAAAATTATTATAACATATTTGTTACCATTATGAATACTACTTAAATTTATTCACTCAGGCATGTTATTACGTTTCTGAAACTCTCGCTTGCCAAACGCAGCAGCTTTTTGATTTTTTTAACTTTTTTTATTTAATTTTATTCCTTTTTTTTGTTACAATTACTTTTGTGCCTAAGATGAAGTTTTTTCATTATGTTGTAATATGAGATTATTACGAGGATACTGCAAAGTATGCATGAAGGCAGTACAGCGGAAGTATCTGCTGACGCGCAGCCCTTGGGGCAGCAATCTTTGATTTTATTATTAGAGGGCGCTTATTTGCGTAATCGATCCATATTTGGAATTCACGTTTCGTAATATGTTAGAATGAAAATACCCAGTGCAGTATCCCAAAATTACGGTACGCTGAAACTTATGTCATGGTGACAGATGTATAATAATTATTATTATTATAATATAAATATAAATGATTCCATTCTTATGGAAATATAAATGGAAAATGAAAAGTCCCCGGAGGTTGTGGAGTATGTGGAGAGAAACAAATGGCATGCTTCCTGCTTACTAATTCATGCAATTTAAGCCCTATGATTATATGTTTATATTATATTGTTTATCTAGGATTCAGAACCACTTTTTGAAGATGAATCCAAACCACTAAGATGTCTTAATGCCCAGACGCTGACATGCTGTGCATTCACTCTAAGAACAGTTTTAATTGTATGCCAAAAGTATTGGCAGGTGAGTATGCACCAACCAGAAAGGAGAAGTAGGGAGGTGATTTACTTAATAATAATTTGCATAACCTGATTATTATCCAATCATCAACTGTTATTGCCTTATTGCTTGTTTGTATCATATTTAATTGAACTTCAAATGTAGTAGCACTGTTACAGCAAGTCTTAGAAGTATTGGGGCAGCCAATTTTCAAACTCGCTAGCGAATTGGCTAACTGCTTGGGTTTTGACTAAACGGTTGGCTTTCGAATCTCGCTGGCGCCGGTTTGTGATCACGTCCACTCTTGGCGAGTCTATATTGCATTAGGAGACATAGAATGTTTTTACGCATCCTCAAGCTGGTACATGTCTGGATTCCCCTGAATGATTTGAGCCCGAAAATGGCCACAGTCAGCCAGCGTGATAATATTATAAATGCGATTAATCTACCGATATTTATTATATGAGGTTAACCTTCTTGAACACTGCTTGACACTAAATAGACAAGCTGAGAAACAGTTTCCTACAAATCAGGGAGAAAATAACAAACTTTCACACTCAAACGATTCGTTGGGGTAACATTAAACCAACCGCTGAAAAAATGGACCTCATTCGTCGTTTTTGTGTGGACACGGAAGAGCATAGAACACTTTCCCTAATATATTTGAAAGCGA